TCGTTGTTTTACCTTTTAATTCCTTTTTTGTAAACGGCGTTTGAGTTAGTTTTCACGTTCAACCTATGCGTTCAACTTGTAAACACTCTGACTCTGTACTTCCGGCTACGTCGCCCGTGACCTTTTGAACGTAATTACGTATTACGTGACGTTACAAACGCGCCTCACAGAATGGAGAAAGGCTAGCATTTGTCCTTAGAAAAGTTACTTTTTTGGAATAACTTTTGAAATAACCGATCGTTTCGCATGATAAGACCCTTATTCATCGTCTGGTGTCGTTTAAAGACATTTGAAGCTGCATCTGTAACTGTTATAACTGTCGTTTGGACCTCGGTTGGACCTGGTTCCCATTGAAGTCCATTATATGGAGAAAAATCCTGGAATGTTTTCATCAAAAACCTTAATTTCTTTTCGACTGAGGAAAGAAAGACATGGACATCTTGGATGACATGGGGGTGAGTAAATTATCAGCAAAAGTTTATTCAAAAGTGAACTACTCCTTTAACTGTGTTTTTTTGTTGTGGTTATACATATGTTTATACAAATGGTAGTCAATACGTTGAAAATACATGGTTTTACTACAATAAAACCTTAGTTAATTTTCGTAAGGGAACACTATAGCAATTGATATAATGTTTTAACTCTGTTCTGTCATGGTGCTTACACACTTTTAAAGGAGTAGTTCACTTCAGAATTATAATTTCCTGATCATTTACTCTCCCTTACGTAATCCAAGATGTTCATGTCTTTCTTTCTTCAGTCGAAAAGAAATGACAATTTTTGAGGGAAACGTTCCAGAAACGTTGACTTCAACGGGTCGAAGGTCCAAATATGAGTTTCAGTGCAGCTTCAAAGTCTCGACACGATCCCAGACAGGGAACAAGAGTCTGATCTAGACAAACCATCCGCCATTTTGTAACAAAAATAAACATTGATGTACTTTTTAACCACTAATGCTCGTCTTACACTAGCTGTGATGCGCCACACATTATGTACTCGAAGGCGGAAGAACGACCGAGTGTTTACAAAGTCACTGTGCGAAGAGTCAAATGCCATTTACAAAACAAATAAATAAATACAGATGAAACTATGATGTCGTGCAATTTTGAAGTTAAGGATATAATGACATGGAGTTTTTCACCCTTCTCTATATTTCTGAACTGGAACACGACGCGTGACCTTTCAACCTTTATTTTTTGGTTATAAAATGGTGGATGGTTTGTCTAGATCAGACTCTTAGGCTACGTTCACACTGCAGGCTTAAACGACCTAATTCCGTTTTTTTTGCCCCTATGCGACCTGTATCTGATTTTTTCATGACAGTCTGAACGACACAGATCCGATCTTTTCAAATGCGACCCAGGCCACTTGGGTATGTGGTCTAAATCCGATATGTATCCGATCTTTTGAAATGCGACTTCAATAGCGAAAAAACACCCAATCTGGCAACACCAGCCACCAGTGTCGCACCGCGGCCGCCGGAGGACGCGTGGAGGACGCGCACTATCAATTAAATGACGAGGTCGGTGAGGATCGGAAAAATCGTACATTTATGTGCAAACTTTGACCGTCGATAAAATAATTGTTGTCTGTGTTTGTATATGGGCTGTGGCAATAATAATAATAAAACAAAAGTTCGCAACATATGGAAAAAAAGAATTATTCCGCAAACAACAAGTGACGTCGTTGACCGTTGATTACTCTTCTGCGCATGCGGGTCACTTCTGGGTCATTTCACGTTCACACAGGACATCAAAAGGTCACATTTAATTGGAAATGTGAACGGCCTTGCAAAAAAATCGAATTTTTAAAAAAAAATCGGAATTGAGCATTAAGCCCTGCAGTGTGAACGTAGCCTTATTCCTCGTCTGGGATCGTGTCGAGACTTTGAAGCTGCACTGAAACTCACATTTGGACCTTCGACTTGTTGAACCCCATTGAAGTCACTATTTGGAGAAACCACGTTTTCCTCAAAAACCATAATTTCTTTTTTTTTTTGTAATAATCCTTTAGAAGTGGCATCCTAAATTCTCAGCACGTGTGAAATAGAGGCTGCGTCCATCTACAATAAGACTCAGTCCTGTCATCAGGACTCTCATGAAATGCTTACTGCAGAAAAACAGAAACTCAAAGCCCCTTTCAGGCAAGTCATTTCCACTCGGCGGCCATCTTTGAAACATCTCAGCTATTTCAGTCTTGCAAGTTCAGCTCTTCTCTCTCTGAATGGGGAAACATCAAATTCCCCAAAGCTGTTTAGCTTATTATAAAATGTCATATTTGACACAACCAATGACAAAACAATCAATTTTGCAATATTCTAAACGCTCAAAAAAAATATACTTTCCAGGCTGGACCAGCCAATGCGCATGTCACGTGCTGACTTTGCCAACTTACAATTGGCTTACTTTTTAATATAATTAATATTAATATAACCGCCATATTGTGCGCTGCGCTTTCTCCCATGAGTGCACCGCCTTTATATATCTAAATCTAAATATCTATATCTGTGCATTCCTCAAAACTCTCTGAAATCCTAGGAAATACCCAGATAGCAAACTGACATTGAATCAACGTGGAAATATGACATCGAAACAACGTTGATCTAACATTGTTTTGCTCATCGAATTAACGTTGAACCAACGTCAGACGCGTCATTCTTTCGAAACTAACGGAAAATCAACTTGAAATCAACGCGTTGTTTCAACGTTACGAAAGCAAACCAATTTTCGATTTTCATTTAGCTTTGAAGAATGCCGCGTCTGACGTTGGTTCAACGTGAATTCGATGAGCAAAATCAACGTTGTTTCAATGTCATGAGAGACGTCGTTTCCACGTTGATTCAATGTCAGTTTGCTGTCTGGGTATGAACATGTAAAGACTGGTTGGCCTAACAGATCTCGCCCCACACTCATGCCATCAGTCAGTGTCGTCGTGTTGGGCTTCACATTAAATGCATCGCTTAGTGTTGTTTACCCTTAGTTTGTTTGGCAGCAGACCTGGTTGTTGACAATCTAGCTAGCACAGCTATTTGCATTTGTACAAGAATCAGACAATGGCCATGTACAAACTCTGAAGTTTCAAGAGCGGAAACCGCATTTAAATGCGTGAGTGAATCCTCTAAACTACTGAATGATTGACGCATTGGTAACCATAGCAACGTTTTGGCTCACGACTGTGAACATGAAACGTGAATTCCCATGGGCAGATTTGATGAATCCTACAGTGTGGCCAGCATTTCTGGATCGTATTGCTATGTTTACATCGACACCTTTTTACATCCCAACATGCTTTGTACATGCATGTTAAATAAAGCAATCGGATTGATGTCACAAGATTTACATTGGATTTGATCTTTTGGCATAAGCACAATATATACAAATATACATCCTTTGTTGCCTTAATCTTTATCTATAGCACTTTGAGATTTTGCTTACATATAAAGTGCGTTACACATAAAATGTTGTGTTATTTTTATTATTCCGGGGCTATTGTCTCATGTGATCAGAGATACAAGTGAAACTCGAAAAATGAGAATATTTTCGAGTTCATTTATTTCAGTAATTCAACTTAAAAGGTGAAACTAATATATTATATAGACTCATTACATGCAAAGTGAGATATTTCAAGCCTTTATTTGTTATAATTGCGATGATTATGGCTTATATGAAAAGCTTTTCACAATATTCTGATTTTGAATTTGGGGTTTTCATAAGCTGTAAGCCATATTCATCAACTTTATAACACATAAAGACTTGAAATATCTCACTTTGCACATATGAGTCTATTTAATATATTAGTTTGAGCTTTTAATGTGAATTACTGTTCACTTGTACATTCTGATGCATGATTAAATAAGTCACTAACAACTTTTCAATGGTAAATGCGGTTGTAACGACCTGAATCTTCACCTCAGACTTGGTTTTAGAATGCGGTTGTCAATGAGTAAACTGTGTGTGTGTACAGAATAGGATCATCACACAAAAAAGGTGAGTTTAGCCAATGGATGGTTGTGAGTCAGAGATATGTAAGTAGGAATATGTGTTTATGTATGTGAGCTCCCACAGGAACCTTTAACCAGGATAGCATTAAGTCATGTAGGCAGAGTTCCTCTGTCTGTGTGTGTGTGTGTGTGTGTTTACTAATGGTCATGAAGTTGTGGGCGAGCGTTCTGGGATCCTGAAGCTCTCTCTGGACTCCCACATTCTGCTCATGTTGTTTCTGATTCACCTTTCTCTTTCCACCCCGAGTCTCCAGCGATCGTCATGTGTCCAAGATCCAACCCACATCAAAGTCTTCAACTCCCCCTCTCTTTCTCTTCTCTCTGGCCATTTGCATTCATCTGTTTGCAACGGCTTCACAGAAAGGAAAGTGCTCTGGATAGCGGGACATGGCCTTGACTTGCACATCCTAACTTTTAATGAGAAATTGGTAACACTTTCCAATACAGTTCATTAGTTAACATGAACTAAGAATGAGCAATACTTCTACAGCATTTATTAATCTCAGTTAGTATTAATTTCAACATTTACTAGATTATTAAAATCTAAGGTTGTGTTTGTTAGCATTAGTTAATGCACTGCGATGAACAAACAATGAACAGCTGGATTTTTAATAAAAAACACCATCAGATCACCTTTTCTATGTGTTCTTCTGGCTGTTATAACTCGTGTACTGCAGCCAAACAAAATCTAAAGTTAATGATTTAAGGGTCAAAAGCCCAACTAAAGCAAACACTGATCTCCACAATGGTGACTTAAAATTACGGTTTTCTCCTTCAGTGATGCTGCTTGTTTTCATCGGGTGTCTTCAATGATGCTCAATCATCACTCAAAGTGTTAATTTAACACTGGGGGTTTTGCTGTGTACAATCGCATCAGTTAGATCGAAGTGTTGTGTTTACATGAGGTAAAGTTTAATCACGAAATGGCTAAAATCGCATAATTGTTTCTGCATACAGTGAAGTAAAAGATCCTGAAATATTGCTAAACATGTGATTGCAGATGGAGAAAGTGGAGTGTGATCTGATCCGCTCGAAGTCTCTGCGAGAGCAGCAGTGTAAAGAGTTCGGCTTGCAGATGGAGGAGTTACAGCGGAGATGCGAGCAGCAGGTCTCAGTTCATTTACATCACATTACCTGTGACCAACCAATCATTTCCTCTGACTCCCACATTATTACAGTTCATATTCAAATCTAATGATTGGACGGGCTGTCGCAGGGTTTGTTTCCACAATTTAAAACCCCTTATCACATCACTGCATTCAGTCTCCGGTTCCACCTGATTAAACATGTAATTTGTTCTCCATTTAATCAAAGTCCAATCAACTGATAAGATGCTACCTTTTTATTTATTAATAATTGACTGAGAGGAATGTGTTTATCTTTGAACAGTGAAATAGTGTTATCATATTGCAATTTAGCAGTACATTATATTGCAGATTAATTGCATTGAAGCACATTTTGTCGCCAAATAATGGATTTTATGTAAAATGATCATATGAGGAGCTGAATAGTTAGATATTTGATTTATAATATAATATATTTTTGCAGATTTATTCATGAATTTCCGATCATTTTGGCTCAAAGCCGATATTGACATACATTTATTTTTTTCTGCAAGTCTCACCTGTGCAAGAGTTATAAATACATTATTATTTTTACAATTATTAATTTCATTTCAGTTAGTTTTGAGCAAAAAAAAAAAATTATTTTCTTTTTTGGTTTCAGAGTTCTGAGGTCTCCTTGCCAAAAGGTTACTTAAATGTTAATAAAGTTCTTTTTTATAATAAGAGTACATTAAAAGCTGTGAAAATAACAATAATAAAGTCAGTCACAGGTTTTTCCCCTTAGACAGATGCAGTTTTAGTCTAAATATTTATAATTTTTTACAGAAGTATGTTGTTGAAGACGATCTTTTAAGCTAAACACAGATGTTTATCCAGTAAACCGACAGACTGGACTGATGAAACCTGCAATTATTAGTCTACTATTAAATTTGATGTAAACAATAGATCTATATAATATTCATAATTTATAGAGGGCATAATGTATAAGTATTTAAACCTATAACATTTTACATAGGTAACATTTAAACACTTTTTTCACTCACAATTCTGACTTTTTTCCTGCAATTGTGAGTTTATATCTCCCAATAAAGACTTTATAAACAGTTTATATCACATAACCAGTGTATATGAGACATGAAAATGTTTTCTTCATGCCTTAACGTATCTTGAATGTAACTTGCCTCATTTAGGTTCTGTGAATATGTAAATGAGCGCCGCCTCCACTCACTCAGCTCAGAGATCCACTGGTTGACGATACAATTATATTCCCAGGGAATACAATTATATCAAAACTGCATAACAAGTACTACATACTTTTAAAGAAATAATCAATCAAACTACCATCAATCTTTACACGGTTGTTCTCTCTTTCATCTTTGTCTGGAATATGAAAAATGACACCAGGTCAGAGGGATTGTTTGTTCAGTAACTAACTGATCCCACTTTGACGAACAAAACTCGTGTACTATTTCTACCGTAATGTTCCATTGTTGAAGAGCAGCTTTATTGACCTTGTACTTGTGGCAGCTCATTACTTGTGAACTTGCCCACACAGTGCATTGTGGGCGCTCTTTGCTTTTTCCTTTTTCTCAGGTTATTTAAAACCGAGACAAATACATTCCTTGCTGAATTTCTCATCGTGGGTGAGAATGACCAGAGCGGGACGATATACTGTAGGAAACTACACTAAAAGCCTAAAATCCAAAAGAAAGGACAGACAATAAGCTGTTGTTTTTTTTTTTCTGTGTTGTGAAAGATTCAATCCGCCAGCAGAATCCAAAATCCCCCTTTGACTCAAAGTCATTCATTTGATCATGAAATCCGGTTGTAGTTCATCAAACTTATTGTTTTGCTTGTTGTAACACTATTACCTGACACACGTCATGAATATGAAGCAGGTTTTATGCATGTTTATGACGACTGTAATTAAGTGTCATTCGCTCAAATATGACATTTTGAATGCAAATACGACATTGTTTGAAATGTCTTTGTTATGACCCCTTGGCATAAACCAATACATCATAACCTGTCACCTAGCTTTATGGGTTAACATTACATTAACCTATCAGGTGGTTGGCATTGACATTGGCTGTCATGAGGCGTTATAACTTTTTAATGACAAATTCAATGTGTACCACTGTAGTTGAGGTCACAAAACATATTCATGACAGTTATAATGCCTCATGAAATGTATTTGTAGAACACAGTTCCAGAATGTAAGATTAAATGAGTGCGCTCAATAACATCCACAATGGTTTCCGACACACAAAGTGCTTTTCCCTCAAAAATTGCCCTATTTAAAGCGTTTTGGCTTTAGTATGAATATGTCATCTACAGTATAAGCTACTGTGCTCCAAAACAATGACAAAATTCGCATTTAGAAAACCAATACCAGCATTGAAAATGCAAATCAGGTTGTCAGAATCCATCGACAGATTGGCATTAATCTCCAATGTTGGAGAGACTTTGTATTGTGGTTGAAAATGAAAATCGGGTTGACGTCAGAAACCAACATCAGTCGAGTTCTGGCGTCAATCTGACTTTCATTTCCAACCAAAATTACCCACTGACTGACACTACTACTGTCTACTCAAACACCTGGACAGATATGTGGTGGAGTACAAAGTGCCATATTTGTTTTTCAAGTGTGGTGAAGTTAAAGTAAAAAGTTTCCAGAAAAAAAATAATACTCATATAATCCTGTCTACCTCTGGTTGAAATGAATAGTGTGTATTAGGGATGCACCGATCCACATTTTTTCACTTCCGATCCGATCCCGATACCTGACTTCGGATATCGGCCGATACCGATACTTTTCCGATACCAGAGCTGTGTTTGCTTTAACATTATTTTTCATTTTATATGATGCTGAAATAAACTCCTCTCTACAGGCAAGGATGATATGTACGTATGTATGTCAATATATATATATATATATATAAAAAACAATATATAGACAATTAAACAAAGATTCACATTATACAGGCCTACACAGTGCTTTAATTTCAGGAAGGTCTACTAACATTATTCAGGTATGGTCTAAAAAGAATTATAATAAAGTAATCAAAAGTAGGCTATAAATAGCACTGCAAAGTTTATCATAGATAGATTTATGCTTATTAAAGCTGAAGTAATTCATTCAAGAGCTGTGAGTGATTTTCTCTTTGCCTTTTGTTGTTTGATTCTCAGTAATGTCGCAATCGTCACATTTATACTGCTGCCCCTTTAAGAACGAGTTCAGATTTCATAGTCTACTGATGCACCATGTTTTCTCCCAACTATTTCGTAACTACGTTCATTTTAGACATAAATGGTTTAAGTGTTAATGTCCAAGCCGGTCGTTTTGACATTTTGCTTGTGCAGGCAACATTTGATCGTTTAGACGCGCATATGAAGCCCAGAGTATAATTTGCTTGTCTTGTTGCGGTCTGTTACGGAGCGCGCGCCGCATTGGGAACAGAATCTCTTGCGCAAATTTTGTGCTTTTAATAGCTCTCTTTATTATTAAAAGCGTCCCGCAATTTAGCAACAGCAGAGACTGCATTTTACAACAATCATCGATCGTGCTGATTCTGTCTTAAAGTTTTAGTTTTAAGGAGAAATGACGGGATGTTGGCTAGACAGAATGCGGCTATTGTTTTTAATGTTTTTTTTTTTACCTCAATATATTCTTTAATCTTTGGAAATCAGACTAATATCACAGATCTGTAACCAGGTTACGTTTCCTCTGTCGTCACTCATTACGCAGGGCTGTCGTGTTGTGCTTGCTGTGGCACCGCGTGAGAGATCTCTCTCTTTCTCTTCTGGACTGCGAATTGCAAACATGCATCACAGACAAATACTTTAATTAAAACGGCTTTGGAAACATTGCATTTTGCTGTCTTGCTCTGCTGCGGTGTTTCCAGTGTGAAGTATTTCCACCATATGATTTCCACACAGCGAACATGTTGGTAGCTCAATGCTATCCTGCTAGCTGCAAACTGCGGAATGGATCTCCTGAGCGGGGGTGTGTCTCATTGAGCCCTATTTTTCACAGTCTATGATTGAGCTGCACCTCCGTTCAGGATATCCATTCCACAGTTTGCAACCAGCTAGCAAACTAGCAGGCCCGGGGGAATCACTTTTGGAGTCATTTCAGCAGACAACGTTAAAGCGCAGACATGGCTCATAAATATCGGATTTCTACACAGGTTGGATCGGAAAAATCCGATACGTGAATTACGCTGGTATCGGTCCCGATACCGATACTGGATCGGATCGGCCCCATCCCTAGTGTGTATATAAAATATATATATTAGGGCTGTCAGTTAGACGCGTTATTAATGGCGTTTACGCAAACCCATTTTTTTTTTATCGCGCTGTGCGGCGCTGCGCTTTGAAACCCATTCATTTCAATGGCTTGCGGCGCGCGAGGATGTTTTGTTGCTTCGTCGACCAAAGCACAAGCGTATCTAGCTAGACCGAAAAGAAAACAACAGGTACGACGCACACACTATATAGTTGGTTAACGTTACGTTTTGAGTGGATGACGAGCGTGAGGCGCCGAAATGGATGCCAATAAGATTCTGAATGGAAAGTTTACTCTTAAAAAGTTGCCAAATTCATTGACAAGACCAAATTGATCTGTGTGTTTTGTCGTTGTGAACTTAGCTATCATCATCGCGATCACAGCACGTCCAGTCTGAAATACCACTTGATGATGCCCAAACACTCACAGCTGATTTGAATTCTACGCCCCCTCTTCAAAAAATATAATTTAGAATTTTAGAATTCTCCTACATTTAGAATTTTATTGCGATTAATCGCGAGTTAACTATATTAATGCGATTAATCGCAATTAAATATTTTAATCATTTAACAGCACTAATATATATATATATATATATAAAGTTTATTGCAAAATATATTAAAATATTTCAGTATTTTGAAAGCGTAAAGAGACTGAGTTGATTACGTTTTTCGCAGTGATCAATGGCAGTGGGCAGAGCTAACGAGATCTTATGAATTTAGCTTGTGTCGACTCTGATTGGTGGACTTTTCAGTACAGCATCATGGGTAATGTAGTTTTCATCAGAAACTCCACTGTTAAACACGATTATTTTAATACTAAGTTAGACTAATGTAGGCTGACAGAAACAAATACCATCGATAAACAACCTCGTAGCGCACAGTAGCTTTGTCTTTAAAGGTTTACAAGTTATTATTAAAAATCACTTTGCCTATAGAGAAACTGAATAGATTTGTTTATGCCCGCAACCCACTCTATAAAGATTATGACGACAAACAACCACTTTTCAAGTATAAAAACCTGGTAAAAAATATTCAAGGCATGTTTTTCCACTAAATTAACACAAGAAACAGTATTTAAACTTTTTTTTATTTCTGATCCAGTACACCCCCCTCAGCCACGAAACCTCCTCATGTGCCGCTCACATCTCGTGGAAGCCTCAAACACATCTACAGTTCTCATCCTTCATCAAAGTTCAGAAATTCAGACTAGCGGGTATGCGGCTATAGGTTAGATTGGGGATGGGAAGAGGCTTGTGAAAGGGAAGGCTAGTTCTTGGTATGCTAGTGTCCTGTGGTTATTCCTGTTCATGTTCCTATTGTTTCCACTCGCGCAGTCAAGACTTAATCATTCACAGGAACATCAGGAGCTTTTCTAGAAAATAAATGTGTTGAATTTTGAACATTAGACCAAGGATAAATAACTGGAGTCTAATAGATATATAATTATGGAGAAAATATATTATGATTTTTTTTTGAGTATGCTGAAATTGAACATCTATGTATCATATCAAGTATCATAATAAACTTGGGACTTTTTTCTAGTTAGCAAAAAGCAGGAACAAACTTTGATCTAAATTAGATCATTTCCATTAGAGCATTATCATTTCTGACATATTACAAGCGGCAAAAACAATGCAAACAAAAAAATCTGTAATAAAATGACACTTTTATAGTTATATTTGGTGAATAAGACATTATTATTATTATTGATATTATTGTGGGGCTCAAAATGTTACATGTAGCCCTTTATTTGTAAAACATTATATTTTTTTTTTTAGTTAAAAGGTGTTTCATTTGGTAGTGAGTTTCATTTTGGTAATTAATTTAGCAAATACCACAAAAAAATTAATAATGAAAAAACGCCACCCATTGGTCCTCTAGACTTTGCCTACATGTTTTGTCAATTGCTGTGATCATATCATAGATAATAATAGAATTGTGTATGAATCTGTGACAGATACAGTTGCCAAGGTAACAAACCCTCAATAATATTTAGTGTCTAAACTGGTCAAGCTGTAATATCACTCACCCGGAACAACTTAAAGTTGGCCAGACCGGTCATAAAATGTCATAGTAGTGTGAAAAGTGATTAATAAAAAGTCAATTTTATTAAGATTTTTGACATTAGGATATTTTTTTTGCTTGATAATTACTTTAAATCCATTCTTCCCCATTCGTATATGTGCATTAATGAGCAGATTTTTCAAAATTATATATATTTACATTTTAAGTATGCTAAATAAGTACTTTTACATAATTTCAAATCACAATTGTCTTGAAAATGTGTCTAAATTTTGCTTAATATTATTTTATTAAGGGTCAACTATGCCCTGAAATGGACATGATTTTACCCAATATTGTGATATAATAGCAGACATTGCACTGATCTATCAAGAGTTTCAAGAATTCCTGTTAATGATATTTGGCCCGTGAGAGCTGGAGCTGAGATGTTTAGTGCTGCTTTAATTAGTGGCCTGTGCTCCGAGGGTCACTTTTAGCTATTCATGCCAACACAAAGAAACATTCCCCAGGATTCCTCTTCAATTGGACTTTAAAAGAGTGCAGTTCTATAGAAGTGTTGTTTCTCTTTGACCTCCTCGCCATTTGACGTCACTCTGGCAACATTGAGCTGATGTCTGAGGTCACAACAAGTAGGGAGTCAAGTACATGACATTAACAGCATCCCACTCACTTATCCACGCCAACCAAACAGTCCATCTCATGGGCACTCTTTCCTTTTAAATCAGGGGTCTTAAAAAGTATTAAAAATTGATAAATAAGTGTGGAGAAAATTAAGGCCCTTAAAAAGTATTAAAAAGTCTCAAATGCTATTACATTTTTGTATCAGTTTTTCATTATGTAGGCTATATTTGTGCAAAGAGGTTGTATGCTTAAGTTTGCCTGAATTTAATCATTGCATAGGCGAATAGTGGGATTCTGTGTAGTTTAGTTGTTTAGTTTATGGAATCCCACTAGATAAAACTTGCATTGGGTTAGTCAAGCAATTCATTCTCTTGTGCTTCGTCCCCACCCTAAGAAACTAAGACTGTTTAGTCGTGCTATCTCACAATTAATATAAAGTAAATGGAAGTTTATGTAAATGTAGAGTAAAATTGAAGGTCTTAAAATGTATGGAAATTTTTCAGAAAAAGCCACACAAACAAAAAGACAGAATGGTCCTTTTTGGGAGTATCTGTACTTTTTGAATAATTGAATATATTTCCCCCCACTCCGTCTTCAAAGAGATCCCCTACTGAGATCCTTCTGTCTGATAGAGAGCTGCTTCACTCATGAATTGAACGCTGGCGCTCTAGGAGGGGGCGCTAATCACATCTGCCCGGCGACAGCAGCCATTCAGCGCTAGCGCTTTAAGAGCCCGGCTCCCAGCAGCCCATTCTGTGACGTTTCAATGTTTTCAATCTCTCCCCCCACCCTTCGCTCTCCCACTGTCATATCGGCGTGTTTTTGGCGTGGATTTTCACCCTGCGTCGAAAAAAATTAACTTAGATTTGTCAAAACCAAAGCCTTGCCTTTGTCGCTTGTCCGATGGGTTGAACCCATCACAGCGAGCTTGAAAATAAGGTAATCACTGATCCAAGTTATCACGTGTACATATTGCAAATTTGGCGAATGGGTTGTAGTGAGAGATCTCAGAATCAAGATACAAGTCTAGGATATTAAAACGGGTTTAACCCATCACAGCAAGATGTACGCCGAGGTAATCACTGATGACGGGCTATTCATCTGTTATAACGTCTATATACTGCAAATCTGGCGGTTGAATTGGAACGCGAGATCTCAGAATCGAGAAACGAGATTAGGATATTAATGCATGGGGTGTCTTGAAGAAATCCATCGTATTGCTTTAAGACTGGAGAGTTGCGCCCTTCGTTGGTCCCTGATCAATTAGCGGAGGCTCTTTCTGTTGGCTGTTGAGTTTCGCCCTATTAGAGTCATCTGCTTGCATCCACTTCTCCTCCTCTACTGTCAAAGGGTGAAATCGATGATGCCTATCCAAATCTTTCTTCAAAATCCTCTAGAATTGGGGCTGTTTGAAGCATCTTTTGTGGCCTTGTGCCTGATTGGCTGGGGGAATCAAGATCCCATTCATCACCTAGACTCAATAGCACCACAGCAGCCTCTAGCTGGCAGGCCAGGTAGGGTGCCGAGCCACACAATGTGGGGGGATTAGCTGGAAAACTGCGGGATGCAGGCCTCTAACTGGGCGACGGGGGGCTGGACGGCCAAGGTCACCATATCCCATCCAGAGGAGACTAGGAACGGACCTTGGGAACCGACACGGAGGCTCGACTCACCGCACAGCAGGTGCGAGTCAGAGAGATAATGCCACTGCTAATGCACTTTTGTGTTCTTTCAACATTTTCCTTCTTGCTTTCAATCCGGACCACTTTGGGTTTTTCTTTTTCTCAATAAGAGTTAGCAGGGATGCCGGGCAAATTGGAATATCTGAGACTCTTAATTTTCCATTTTTTGACAGCGCGACACTTCGGTAAAGGACTAATTAGTAACTGTGAGTTGCGGTATATGCATCATGACAGTATGGACAGACAAGAAAATTCCAATTAAATAAATGGATGGGGAGTGTTTTCTTTTTTGCAGTCTGTTAGAATAAAGGGGATTATAGGTAGGTCATTTCTTGCTTCCCTGGTCTTCTATGCAGCATTTGACGATGATATTTGCCATAATTGTAAGCCAATTTTTGTCTCCACTTCTGTGCGACATTTCTTCGTTCTAATGAGAGCTGAAAGAGATGTTAGCTCGTCATAATTGGCAGGACAACAACACGTGAGGTCATAGTGATGCAAAAACTTGCGTAAGCTTCTTGTGTTGTTCTGTTTTCTTCGCTGAGCCATGCACAAGTTGTCATGACGACAGGGATGTTCTGCTGATGAAGTCTTACTCCTTGTTGTCCAATCAGATTGTGGAGCTGAAACTGCAGCATGAACAGGAGCGGACGCACCTACTCCAGGCACACAATGCCGAGAAGGACAGCCTGGTCCAGGAACACCAGCGGGAAATCGATAGTTTGGACAAGCAGGCGAGGGCCGCCATGGTCCAACAGCAAACGCAAACACAGGACTGGAGGAAGCGCGACGCTCAGGTAGGGGGTCCTTTCCCTTCCTTTACGCTGCTTTCTGACGCTTTTTGGTTTTGCTAAGTAGGATAATGTTACAGGTGATGGTTGTTTTTCTTTTGCATTACTTCTTTTAAGAAATCACATGCTTTTTCGCAACACGAAACGACAAGGATTCAATTTGGAAACTTTTTAGCCATTACGTTCATGTGCAACTTTCCACCGCGGGATTTCCTTAAAAATGTAATCATTTTCATTGGAAAAAGCATCTGAAAACCACAGGCTGCCGGATTGAAGAGAGTAAATTTCCAAGCCCATTGTGACTGGGGCCTTTTATTGGGAACCGTAGGGTGCTTTCTTCTTTCCTTGGGATGTTTAAATTGGGGTTAGTTGTATGTTGTGCACCACACCGCTTTACAGTTCTGTTTGCTGGTTTTGTCGCCGCAGTGCAGGTAGCATGTATCGGCTAAAATTTATCTGAAACTGGTGCAACAGGCATGTGTTATTTAGACAGTATTCATGAGCCCATAACACCTCCATTTTGGTCATCAGCGGGTTTCTGGTGCCTGCTGTGTCCGCCGCTTCGCTCTCCAGTCTGTGGGAAGCCATTCGATAGGCTAGCCCCCAACTGTGGATTCAGTGGACTCGTCAAACCCCAAGATTAAATGTAAATTGTCAGCATGGCTAAACCATATTTATTGGCTCCTAGCAAGAGAAACAAGCTAAGAAAAGTTGATGCCATATGGACATACTGTAACAATCCATGGTGAAATGTTCCAATCTGCATTGATATATTAGCGAACGGGTATGGTAACAATACCTTAAGCGATCTATAATCAGTGTGTCTTTTTCTGTTTTGACAGTAGTGCTATTAGTGTTTTGATATCAATGAACAATTTCAAAAGAGTTTATCGTGCCATTTTCAACTATTAAGATCATGTTTCGCAACCAAAAAGCTAAATAATAGGGAAAACGTAACAATTGAGAGTTTTAGCGACAAAACTTTAGCGATCTGTCTTTTTTCTGTTTTGAGTGACAGTTGTTTTTACCTGCTCAGCCAATGGAAACAACCATTTTTTACAGGTGGTTCAACCCGATCTCACGACAAAGTCGTACGAATTCGACGAATGATTAAAAAGTGGCTAATTCGTAACAATTCATACTACCTCACCCGTACGAATTAATACGATTTTGCTAAATCGGACATATTTTACGAATTGGCCCATTCGTATGAATTCGTACGAATGACCTACCTCTTACCCCGCCCCTAAACCTAACCAACACGTGGGTTTAGACAAATCGTACGAATTAGTACGAGTGAGGTCGTACGAATTAGTACGAATTAGCCACTTTTTTAATCATGCGTCGAATTCGTACGAATTGGACGTGAGATAGTGTTGGGTGGTTTGATATCAATGATCAATTATCTAGCTAAAAACAATTTCAAAAGAGTTTATCAGTGCCGTGCTGTTGAGCGTGGCCTGTTCGGTGGACACATCCTTCATCAGCTGGCTCTTAAAGGACGAGGTTTGTGGTTTGGCTGATCTGTTTCTCTTCTGAGATTCAATCATGATGCAGTTTTGTTGCCAAGAGTACATCACATCTCTACGGCCCAAACTATTTCCATTTCAAGTAGCCCCCTTCAACTCACTGAGAGTGAAAAGCAGCTCATGGACTTGAAAAGATCCCTGGAAATATATTGACAGGTAGAGAGCTGATTAAAGTTAATGCTATTTATGAAGCCAATAACTTCTTTTAACCTCAACCCTCAGAGATATCCCAAGTATTGATATTGATGATGTATTGGATCACGAAAAAAATTGCAATGCTGGGCTTTTAAGGTTTCAAAATTTCACCGCTGTAATAATTCAGTACTTCCTTGAGACGGCTAAAATTTTGAATAGGAAATCTCAGATTCTGAAACTCTCTAAAGCTTTCAGATCCGGGAATATTCCTACTCCGCTCTTACTTCTGAAGGTTTCATTAGGCTATGATGAATATCACCTGGAATAGTTAATCTATGATTTATTGAATGAGCAATGTTGTTGGAAGAGCATACAAATTGTTGACCAGTGTTGAATATTGGTAACATTACAAAAATCATTCTTTTTATTATATCATATTACCCTTTTTTCCCCCTCACTTTTCCACCTGTGCAATATTACTAGCTAGACTTCCTATTGGACGCTCTACATTTCTGTTTAGTTGCAATCAGCTCAACAACTCTGGGGGAATGTGTCCATTTAGAGAGTGCCATTACTGCTACAGATAGCTTTAAGGAAACTTCTCGGAAATTAGTATTATGACCACGAGCCTAAAACAAGCGCTAAATATGTGAAATGCATCAAAATCAATGTTTTAAGCGATCCAAACTTAGAGCACCTGTAAAGTGTATACTGTGATCTGATTCGCTCAAAGTGTTTTGTTCCGCTTTTGGCGCATAAACATTATCGAACATTTATCGACCTCTTGATATCGTTTTATCGAGAAAAATTATATCGCGATAATTATCGTTATCGTTTTATCGCCCAGCCCTAGATGTATGTGCTTTCGATTGTGTAATAATCGGTAACGACCGTGTCTGGAATATAGTGAAGAGTTACAGGATGTAATTGGAAGTGTAGATTGGGACATTGCACAGGACGGAATTGAAATCATCTCCCATCTCAGGTTATTCGATCATAAATATTGTGCGTTCTGTATTTCGCATTACCTTTGAAGGATCAGATCACAAGGCATATTTTGACCTCTGTTTAGAGCTGACCACTGAAATAAATGACAGTTGTAAATAAGCATGTGTACAAACTGCTGTGCCACAGGTCTGTCCATTCACTGTTTAGTTAAATTTTCGTTTAATTTATGCTAATTTAATGTAATTTAATTAGATATCAGCCAACATGTACTCTAGATATGGTATTGGCAATTAAAAACTCTTGTCGGTTCACCACTACTCATTACTTCATACAAAAATGATCCTATTAAGTTTCCTGTGTTGTATTTCTGTATTGTATTTCAGGTTTAGTGAATTCTGATTCAAATGTTGGACATGCATAAACACTCCCCTCAAATGCCATTGGTAAAAACATAAACAAAAAGCTAGTCCCACCATTGGTTGAGCCAGTGTCACTGTGTTGAACTGGTTGGATACTGAATAGTATCTGTTTGGTAAGAACTAAACTAAAAGTTATATTTAGAGTTGAGAGACTTGAGTTTCGGGTTGGGTGATATTAATGATCAGCATGTACTTACTATAGGATTAGGTTTTGGTTTGGTGTTACAGTAGATGCATGTTATAGATAGTTTAGATTGATTTTTATTTTATTTTTAATTTGTCCTCAAGAGGACATTTGTTTCCACCGTAGATCCGTACACACATAACATGCTAAATTATCATATCATAATACAATTAGTGCTGGGCAACGATTAATCGTGATTAATCGCATCCAAAATAAAAGTTTGTGTTTACATAATATATGTGTGTGTACTGTGTATAATTATTTTGTATATAAAAATTCATACACATGCATGTATATATTTAAAAAAATGTGTTATTAATATATAAAATATTTATATTTAATATAAATTATCTATATATATATATACAGTTTATGCATGCAAATATGTCTTAAATATATACATGCATGTGTGGGTATTAATATATATATATATATATATATATATATATATATATATATACATATACACACAAAATAATTATACACACTACACACATATATATTATGTAAACACAAACTTTTGTTTTGGATGTGATTAATCGCGATTAATCGTTGCCCAGCACTAAATACAATATAAAATAATTACTGACTAAAAAAAAAACAAGTATCAATGGTCAATTTTCTATGTATTTAGAGCTCGTATAGATACATAGACCCTTAAATCGCTAGAGATGACACGTTTCCACAGTTATGAACATCATGTTTATAACACTACACTTTGTTATATTACCTTAGCAGTAAATTACAAAAATAAAGTTTCTAATACAACAGCTGAGAGCAAATTTGTCAATAATTTTTCACTCTTTTGAAAACGATCATGGATTTTTGTTTTGTTTTTTTGCAAAAATGAGAACACATGTATATCGCTATAGACGTTTACCCAACTATGACAAACCCCAGAATATGAAAAGGGCCCGTTATGCATAATTTACTCTTATCACTGTAAGTACATGTAACAAGGACACTGTCAAATAAAGTGTTTTTTTGTTTGTTTGTTTTTTTCTAGTCTGTGATTTTAATAATAATAAAAAAAAAAGATTGATATTGGAGGTGATGTTTATCGCGTCAGTTCACATTCCATAAACCTTCACACGCCACTAGCAGTCAGTGATCCGGTGACGGGTACCATCACTCACATCTCTTCCTGGAATACACACATGTGATGTGGTCAGGACATCAGGAGCGTGCAAGATGAGCCAATGACTCGTGCTTTTCTCAGCTTTTGTTCCAGGTCGCGGTGACTTGTTTTCGCCCTGTAACGTTGGTTTGTCACGGCCCGTCCTGTAACCCGCATTACATGGTGTGTCAGCGTGTGTTTTCCTGTTAGTTGCAGGAAATCACAGCACATCTGGTTTTACAACCATCATGTCCGAGTTCAGAGGTTTGCTAGATTTAGCTCTATCGCTCTCATGCGTGGCCGTATCGATCTGAAGGAAGATGATGAGGGAGTTCAAATCCCCTCGTCTCCGGACTGGAGTCTGTGTATTAGTTTCCTCGGACTCTGCCGCCCTCCGGGTTCCTGTTTTCATAAGTCTGTTTGAGGATGAAAAGACCCAAAAAACACCAGGATGGTTCTCAGTAAATACAGTTGCCTGAAGCCAGCGCAGTGAACCAATACACAGCAGACTCCAGAGACCACATGCCCGTTCACAACATTATTATACGGAAAACACTCATTTCACCATATACACTATTATTATTAAACTTAGTGCTACATTTCATATTGTTCTTGTTTAAATAATGCAACTTTTTTGTGGTTTAATTATTATTTATGTATTATCTGCGGATTGA